CACACACACACACACACACACACCAAAAGACTTAGGAGAACTTTTCTGCAGCTCCCTTCTTTCTGGTTTTCTGATCTGAAATTTCTAGCTATTTTGGACTTCCCAATTGCCGCCTCAACTCAGGAAGCCTCATGGGACCTGTTTTTAATTATCCTCTGCCAATATGAGACCTGGAAACTTCAGGCAGTAAGATCAGTAATTGTAGAGTCATTGTCTTGTGTTACCTGTTATCCATTGTCTGAAACCTGTTGTTTAATATATTTTGTCCTTTTTAATTTTTTTTTTAACTGGGAATTGAACCCCAGGAATTTTTTAACACCGAGCTATATCCCTAGCCCTTTGTATTTTTTTTTTTTTAATTTTGAGACAAGTCTCACTAAGCTGCTTAGGGCCTAAGTTGCTGAGCTGGGCTGGAACTTGTAATCCTCCTGCCTCAGCCTCCCAAGTTGCTGGGATTATAGGTATACATCTTCAGACCTGGCCATTTTTAAAATTACTTGAAACAATGGGGTAAACTTAGTTGCTCTTATTCTATTATGACTTGAAGCAGAATTCTTAAGCTTTATTTGTTCTTGCTAAAACATATCTGAATATCTGACTAACTTGAGAGGAAAAGGTAGAATATAAAATTGGAAAAATTTATCATGCTTTTCCTCACCTTAGCTTGTTGAAAAGAAAAAAAGATTCCTAAAATTGGACATTACTATGATACATTTGGTAAATGGTGATATACAAATGTATTTCTTTTTACATTTTCATATATCTAAATCAGTGATTTGATTTGGTAATGAAAAATGTTTTTTATATATATATATATATATGAATGATTAATTATCAAAATTTTAGGGAGAATGTCATCTTAAACCTCTAATAAATTGAAAGAGGTTTAGCAATTTGTTAGAAAGGTATGCCTGCACTTAACCATATGATCCAAGAATTCTATTCTCAGATATTTATTCTAGAGAAATGAAAGCAAATACCCACACAAAGATTTGACATTACTATGTGTAGTGGTAATCATAATGGCCCCAAATTAGAAACAACTCAAATGTCCTTCCATATGGATAAATGAAATATTTCTCAGCAGTTAAAAGAAATACTTTACTAATACATCATGGATGAATTTCAAAAAGGGGCTGAGCTGGGGATGTGACTCAAGTGGTAGAGCACTCGCCTGGCATGCACGAGGCACTGGGTTCGATTCTCAACACCACATAAAAATAAAGATATTGTGTCCACCTAAAACTAAATATTTTTTTAAAAGGGTGGGGGCTGAACAAAATAAATTAAACACAAAATAGTTTAAATTTAAAAAATTGGTACTGGGGAATGAACCCAGGGGTGCTTTTACCACTAAGCCACATTCCCTCCTCCTGCCTTTTTTTTTTTTTTTAATTTTAAAACAGGGTCTCACTAAGTTGCTCAGGATGGCCTCAAACTTACAATCCTCCTGCTTTAGCCTTTCACATATCTGGAATTACAGGTATGCACCAGTATACCTGGCTTAAGTGAAATTCTAATAAAGGCAACAACAAGTAATAGAAATTAGAGATATGGTTTTTGTAAAGTGGGATGTGGGTAAGCATTGGGCACAAAGGGGCTGTAAGGAAACGTATAGTATGATGGGATGGTTCTATATCCTGACTGGGGTGTTGATTACATGAATAAATACATTTGTCAAAACACATCAAATTACTCTTAAAGTATTTATTCATTTTATAATATGTAAATTATACTTCAAAAAGTTGACTAAAAATGAAAACTCTAGCAAGTGGGTTTAAATATTGGCTGAGGTCTAAAATATTTAAATATATAAATATTTTTAGATACATGAAATATATACACTATAAATATTAGGAACCTAGATTCTGGCTCTGTTCTAAAATACAGAGTTCTTTTTAGTTTTTCACTTTCTTTTTGTTTCTTTTTTTTTTTTTTGCTTTTTAAAAATTTGTTCTAATTAGTTATACATGACAGCAGAATGTATTTTGACACATTATACACAAATGAAGCACAACTTCTCATTCCTCTGGCTGTACATGATGCAGAGCCACACCCGCCATGCAATCATACATGTATATAGGGTGTATATAGGGTAATAATATCCGTTTCATTCCACCATCCTTCTCACTCCCACACCCCCTCCCCTCTACCCAATCCAAAGTTCTTTCACTTTTCCCTAGCCTCCACCCCACCCCCCATTATGGATCAGCATCCACTTATCAGAGAAAACATTCAGCCTTTGGTTTTGGGGAAGTGGCTTATTTCGTTTAGCATGATATTGTCCAGCTCCATCCATTTACCTACAAATGCCATGACTTATTCTTCTTTAACATCCTTTCACTTTCTAAATGTATGAAATGTGAAAGTTAAGTTAGAAATTCTTTATATCTGGCTCTGAAAAGTAAATAAAAAGTTAATCTTTTTAAAAATTGTCATAGGCTGGGTATGGTAGCACCTGCCTGCAATCCTAGGCTGAAGCAGCAGATTGCAAGTTTGAGGCCAGCCTGGGCAACTTAGTGAGACTGTCTCAAAATAAAAAGGTCTACAAATGTAGCCCAGTGGTACAGTGCTCCTGGGTTTAATCCTTAGTAATAATGGTGATAGGAGGGATATTGACTTGGGCTAGAGGTGCTTGCCTAGCTGTGAAGCCCTGGATTTGATCCCAGCACCACAGAAATAAAAAATGAAAAATTGGCTTGATTTAAGTAATTTTTTCCCCCCAGAAATCTTCCTGCTAAATCTGTGGAAGAAGCTTTACGTCATCGACAAGAATATGATGAGATGGTGGCTGAGGCTAAAAAACGAGGTATAAAATTAAGTGGTATAGTTAATTTTCTGATTTTAATAAATTAATTTTGATAGGAAGATAGTGAAATTTATAAATTCTGTCTTCAAGGTGATACTGAATTCTTTTTCTCTACTACTTTTATAATTAAGTTTGTTTTTAAAGAGGAGTAAGTGCATAATTTTTGTGCAAGAACTTTTACAAAACTAACAAGAGGAGAAAGATAACTGTCTATATCTTGAAATTATAGTCATAAAACTTGGACTCCTACTGTCTCAACTTATAAATGAACATATTCATGAATTTACTCATACATGTTGTTTTTTACAATGTTTAGATTTTTGATATTTAATAGTTTTTAATATTTAAAGATAACTTCTTAAGTGGCTGTGAGAATATAATCTACTTTTGTGACTTATAGTCTCTCCAGTCTTAAATTTTGTTATTTCATGAATATAAACTGACATTTCTTTTTTAATTTTCTTCTCCAGTCCAAAAAAGTAATATAAGAATACCTTAACAATATTTATATACTGACCATTGTTAGTTCAGGATAAATATGTATTTTAAGAAAATATTGGGCTGGGGATGTGGCTCAAGCGGTAGTGCGCTTGCCTGGCATGCATGCGGCCCGGGTTCGATCCTCAGCACCACATACAAAGAAAGATGTTGTGTCTGCCGAAAACTAAAAAATATATATTAAAATTCTCTCTTAAAAAAAAGAAAGAAAATATTACACAGCTAATATATTTTTTTAGAATATTAACAACTGATTTTTTTCCTTTAACTTACATAAATGGGATATTACAATAGTATACAGTTCTGGTTTTGTTATATTTTGGAAATTAAGTTGCTTATTTATTGTTAAACAGTATATATAAGGCCAGTTATATCTTTATAAAATGCCTGCACAGATCTGGACAAGGTGGCGCACGCTTGTAATCCTGGTGATTTAGGAGACTGAAGCAGAAGGATCACAAATTCGAGGTCAGCCTCAGCAACTTAGCAAGGCTCTAAGCCACTTAGCAAGACCTTGTCTCAGAATAAAAAGAGCTGTGACTCAGTGATAAAGTGCCTCTGGGTTCAATCCCTAGTCCTCTCCCCACCAAAAAAAAAAAAAAAAATTAAACATTAACTAAGTTTATGTTACTATACAGAATTTGAACTATTTCTAACATACCCAGTGAGATTTTACTGGCTTCTAACATTGACTTTACTATTTGATTAATATTTAAGATAGTTATAGATAATTCAATGATCCTTAAAAATATATGATATAAATAATATTAAATTGTGAAATCAAAAGTCCACAACTTTCATCTTATTTGATCGTAATGTGACTTTGATACTCTAAATAGGCTTAATGTTAGTTTCCTAATCTGTAGAATATGGGAGGAGGTTGACTAGATCAGGTTTTTCAAGCCTCCCTTTAATACTTTTTTTATAGTACTAGGATGGAATCTGGGACCTCATGCATGCTAAAAAAGCACTATACTACTGAACTGCATCCCCAGACCAACATTTTTTTTAAAGCAGTGGAATATTTTGCATATAAAATCTAAATACATTAAACAAATGTAAGAAAGTGGAGCTACTTTCATATCCTCCTGCCTGCCACTCAAGATAGTTTCTGAGGCATATATGAAATAGGTTGAAAATAGTTTGGCTAGCTGATCTCTAAAGTCGTCACTGGTTCTAAAATTATATACAACTTTATATATATGATTTATGATTTATTTCTCTCTTCATTTATTTTTCTGAAATTGACCTCTGATTTCTAGACATGTTATTTTCTACAAATATAAGTTTGTGGGGGGAAATTTTTTATTTCAATCTAATTAGTAATGTGAAACATCATATCAAAAAGGGCTCGTATACTAATTGTGCTACCAAAATTATTTTTCCAGCTCTTTTTAATTTTTTAATTAATTAATTTTTATTAGAATTTGTTGTTTGTAGCATAAGTGATGGAATTATATAGAGAATTTTAAGACTCAGAAGGGTTGAACTGGTCTGATTGTAAATACTGACAACCCCTTGGATACTGTTATCTTTTTTTTTTTTTTTAAACTGGGAGTGAACCCAGGATTGTTCTACCACCACTGCTTTTTTTTTTTTTTTTTTTTTTTTTTTTTTTTTTTGAGACTGGGTCTCACTAAGTTGCCAAGGCTGACCTGGAACTTGTGATCCTCCTCCTCAGCCTTTGAAGTCGCTAGGATTATAGGCATGTGCCACCACACCCAGCTGCTCTAGCCCTTTTAAAAGTTTTATTCTTGAACTTGGCAAAATGATTTTTAATGTCATGTTGTTTATTATTAAGAGATTCATAAGCCCCTCTGTGAAAAATGAGTATTGGTTAGTTGCTCATAGTTGTTTCTTTTTTACATAGTTAATACATAAAGGATTTTACTTTGTACCTTAAGTAAAAATATAAATATGTGAAATAGCAATTTATTATGGGAATGCTTTTTATGGTCTTTATTCCATTTAGGTTTTTAAACATAATACCTTTATTTTATTTGTGTTTTGTTTGTTTGTTTGTTTTAGAGAGAGAATTTTTTAATATTTATTTTTTAGTTTTCGGTGGACACAACATCTTTATTTTTATGTGGTGCTGAGGATCAAACCCAGTGCCTCAAGCATGGTAGGCAAGTGCTCTACCACTAGCCACAACCCGACCCCTCCATTTACTTTTGTAGAATAGAATATTATTTTAAAATTATGTAAATCAAGACCATTTTTTTTTCTCTTCTTCTCCTATCTTCCCTTTCCTCTTCTCTACCATCACAAGATTCTTTTGAGAAAACTTCTTTTTTATAGTTAGGTAGATGAAGGGGATTTTGATCTAGCTCATTTGTACTGAAATAATTCTTACTTTTTTAATATAGAAATTAAAGAAGCACATAAAAGAAAAAGAATAATGAAAGAACGGTTTAAACAGGAAGAAAATATTGCAAGTGCAATGGTAATTTGGATCAATGAGATACTGCCCAATTGGGAAGTCATGTAAGTAAGCATACTTTTCCTGAAGTACATATCCAAACATCTTGTTTTTCCAGTTCTGTATTTTTATTACTTTCTATCAGGTATCTTATGCTTTGGCTAAATTATACCACTAATCAATCAATGCCTGAAAATCTCCATGTTTATCTTTACATCTTTGCTTTTATAAATCCCCCAGTTTCTAATATGTACTTCTTTTACTGGCCATTTTCTGTGCCTATCAAACTCTTTCCCCTATCCATTGCAACTCATCTAAAAAATTTTAGTTGATTCATGAAACTTTTAGTCTCTTTACTTACAAAATTTTCTTCATTATATTATACCATTAATGTAAGATGCATTATTGATATAACAGCAGGTTTTAGAACAAGCAAACATATATTCATTTTAAGATCATTTATCAAGTATTAAAGTGTTATTAAAATGCCTATCTCACAATTAGGGAAACGTGTTATAGATAATCTTTCTCTTCAGTAAACGTCTCATCATCATATTTTGAGACTAATATACTTCCTGCCTTATTTTGCCTTTTGTTTTTTGATAATATTTTTGTAAATGCTTTATCTTCCCTCTGGACTGGAGGGTTGGGGATATCTTCTTCAGTGCCTAGTCTAGGATGTACATTGATGATTTGTTGAATATTAACAATGTGAGACATAGAGTAGACCTCCTTTATCCATTTCTCTCTGCAGTTTCAGTTACCTTGTGTTCAGTCAAGGTCTGAAGATATTAAATGGAAAATTCCAAAAATAAACAATTCTCAAGTTTTAAATCATGCAGCATTTTGAGAAGTATGATAAAATCTTGTGCCATCCCACTCTGTCCTGGTTTTAAATTGTCCCTTTCCCTAGCATATCCACATTGTATATCCATGCTGTATATAGTATCTATCCATTAGTCGCTTAATAGCGTTTTTGGTTATCACAACTGCTGTCATGGTCTTGCAGTGCTTATGTTCAAATAACCCTTCTTTTACTTATTAATGGCCTCAAGTGCAAAAGTAGTGATGCCTGTAATTCAAACATGTCAAAGAGATGCTTAAAGTACTTCCTTTAGTTGAAAAGATAAAAGAACCAGACTTTTTGAGAGAGAAAATGTAATTTGTATTTCAGTATTTTTTTTTATAAATGTTAAAATTTCATTATTGTTGTTAATCTTTTACGTGCCTAATTTATAGGTTTAGATTTATTGTAGGTATGTATGTATTAGGAAAAAAACATGGTATATATTGAGTTCTCTATTGTCTGAGGTTTCAAGTATCCACTAGGAATTTGGAATGTATCCCCTGAAGAGAAGTGAGAGGACTACAGTGTTATGTTTTTATACAAGTAATCACATGTAATTCTTAGTACTTTTATCTTACAGGAAATCTCAAAGTTAGACAGGGTTAAGTGATTTGCCCAAGGTTATACAATTAGTGAATATACTAGATTTCAACTCAGGTCTGACTGCAAAGCCTACACTCTTTCAGCAGACTACTGCCCCTCAAAAACTAGGGCCTTACCTATAGTAGATTCTTTATGATTTTTTTTTTTTTTTTGGTACTGGATTGGCCACACATTTTATGCCCCTCTTATCCTGGTTTTTATAATTGTCCATATATTTCTGATTCTTATTGTATCTTTAGTTTAAGGGGTATCTGTCAAAGGCAGCCCTCTTCAAATTAATATTGTCCATCTTTGAGGTAATGAATATTTTGTAGGCTTTTGTTGTCTATAAGCATGAAACCCAGAGGAAAGAATGTGTTACATATTTAACTCTCTGTATTCATGAAAACTATCTGATCACTTGGCCGTAGGTAAACCATCATGCAACTAGTATTTTTGGTATAAAAAGTAACTTTCTCCTTTTTTCTCCTCCTTTAATTCTAGGCGTAGTACAAGAAGAGTTCGAGAATTGTGGTGGCAGGGATTGCCCCCTAGTGTTCGTGGGAAAGTTTGGAGTCTAGCTGTAGGAAATGAACTAAATATCACTCCTGGTTTGTATTCTATGTTCAGTTATTCCCACACATACAAATAGTCATTTCCAGAATTATAAAGCAAATTAGTAGAATGGCCTTTTTAAAAGGCACTACCATAAATGTCATTTTAAGAGCATGCTTCATTCCTTGCAAACTTTGTATGACTTAATAAGTTACTACATTTCTTATTATATAAATAAGATTGTGATTTTTTCCTTTAGTGTACATCTATCAGTAATATTCTTGACATTCAAATATTATAAATTTAGTCAATTTCAAAAACTTCTAAGAGTCTATAGCAATGAATGAATACATATATGCAAGGACAGAGAAAATAGACTACGTGCAAAGGCTTCCCCTTTACTCAAAACCAAATACTGCAGAAAGGCTACAAATGTCTTCCTACTCTTCTATCCATATCAGTCCTTTTGGGTTTTTTTTAATTTAAATTTTTGAAGTTTAAAAATCAGAAAAAGTAAGGAGACTCAAGGAGTTTTCTTATTTAAGTTTCTAAAAACCTTGACAGATAGTAGTAAAAGTAAAGTAGTTTTAATGAATTAAAGTTTAAATAGAATTATGATGCTATTGAATAGAAAAATAACAAAATGGTGCTAAATAGGTCTGAGTGAAAATGTTAGTGCTAGACAACACTACAGAAAGATTTAAGATCTCTTAATAGAGATAATATATTGTTATTGTAACTTTTGAAGTTTTTCTTTTTGTATTTATTGAAAAAATGCATGTTTTGGGTGTGATGGCATATGCCTGTAATCCCAGCTACTCAGGAGGCTGAGGCAGGAGGTTTACAAATTAGTGGCCCACTTCAGCAACTTAGAAGAGCCCTATGCAACTTAGACAAGATGCTGTCTCAAAATAAAAAGGACTGGGGATGCAGCTCAGTGGTAAAGGGCCCCTGGGTTCAATCCCCAGTACATATTACCCCCGCCCCAAAATGCAAGCAGTAATGAAATTCAGACATTTTAAGTGTCTTTAATCCAAACTCTCTTATTCTTAATTCTGTTATAAGCACTATAGGCAATTTGGTATCTGATATTTTAGATCTTTTCTCCATGTGCATAAAAAGTGTGCATTTACATGTAATCATTGTTAAAGTTTTCTTTTTTCTTTATTTTTCCACAAAAAAATGAGTTTATGCAGGCTGGGGTTGTGGCTCAGTAGTAGAGTGCTCGCCTAGCACTTGTGAGGCTCTGGGTTCGATCTTCAGCACCACATAAAATTAAATAAAATAAAGGTACTGTGTCTACCTACAACTAAAAAATCTTTTTTAAAGTAGTTTATGCCTTAAGATTATTCTGTGGCTTGTTTTTTCACACTAATTTATCTTGAACATCCCATGTTAGTACATAAAGTCTACCTCATATGTACTGTAGCTATATTATATTCCACAGCTTGACTGTATTGTAATTTATTTGTTTTCATTGTGCTAGCCAAATAAAAGATATATGTTAAAACAAGTTATAGGTATATGTGAAAACAATATCAAAGCCAGGCATGGTAGCACACATCTGTATGCCCAGATACTTGGAAGGCTGAGGTAGGAGGATTGTGTTCCAGGTCAGCCTCAGCAATTTAGCCAGACTTGTCTCAAAATAAAAAATGTTTAAAAGGTTGGGGATGTAGACTCAGTGCTTCAATCCCAGTACCAAACAAAGAATATCTAAGTATTGTTTTTCTACCCCTCAAATTAAGGGATTAAAGAATTACATATATGGGATATGACTGAAAATAATTTAGAAATATTTGCCCAAAGTCTACAAAAACATAATCTTTGACATATTTTTCCAGTTCTAAGAATTTATTCTGGAGAAGTGAGCAGGACTGGCATAGGAGCTTTTCTGCAAGGATGTTCGTTGCAGCAATCAGCATTATAAGTAAATGGACAGAATTATAACAACAATTAAATCTTTTTCTTAATTTTAAAAGTGATACCAACTTTGGATATAATGATTATTTATGATTTTAAATTTTTTCACAAGCTTCCTTGTTATAACATGTTATTTTAAAGAACTTTTAGAAAGAAGTAGAGTTTAGCCCATTATGTTCTGTTATCCTCTATATAAGACAGCTGTAAAAACCTAAATCAAACTTTTTTATAGGTGTCCTATAAATTTTTAGAGATCATTATAGGTGTCTTGTATATAGGATGATAGGAGATAATGGGCTTAGAAGAATTAAAAGTTTAATTAAAACTAAAATTAAATGAAAATTTAACTTGCCCTAGAGAAGGTTAGATTCTGTATTATATAGCTGTTCTCTTCAAATAAAATACAAGTTTCATTTGCTTTCTATGCTTGAAATATTGGAAGGAAATGTTTTTATATTATAGTCATAAATTTCAGTTAGATTTTAAAAGTCTTGATTAGTGGTAATTTGAAGTTTTGTTTTGCTTTGTTTGCAGTTTTCTTTTTTGTTTTGATAACTTTGGTTTTAGAATGTGGGAAAGCTTGGTAATTTGTACATTATAATGTTGGTTCAATAGGTGTTAACCTTTTGTGACACTGTAATCAAAAAGTTCTTTTTATGTTTGAACTTTTATAAAGTTTTGTAACATAAGTCATTTATTTTCAACATAATTTTAGGTCTTCTCTACCAAACATTTATGTATTTAGAAATGGAATAGGGAATTAATTCTCTTCTTATTCATTTGTGGTGTGGACTCTAAATTTTGATTTATTTTTTGATAAGATAATATTGTTTACTTTGGAATGACTAATAAATTGATGCTTTACTTATTGTATTTGTTTTAATCATGAAATTTATGACCACTAGAGAGCAGTAGCTAAGAGTAATGGCTCTAAAGTCAGTCAAATGTGATTCAAATCTTGGTTCCACTGTATATATTAGGTTTGTAACCTTGGGCAAATTACTTAACATCTAGAAGTCTTAGTTTTCTTCATCTGTAAAATGAGGATAAGATCCTATCAGCTATAGAAAAGGATTGTTTTTCGTGAAAGTGCTCTGTCCTGAGAGGATATGTATCATCATTGTCATAAAATCAGAAAGTGAAAGAAACATGCACTGAAATCAAAGTATTCTGTTAGGAAGTGTAAGGTATCATCCTTAGGCCTGCTTCAAGCTCTCTCTTTGTTCAAAAATAAAATCAGGAGAGCCAGGTATGGAATTAAACTGAGATGCAGTTAACTCTTTATTAGAGATAGGAACTATAAAAATCTTCCCTGGAGAGATATTCTTTGATGTTCTGAGATGCATCACTGCACTGCATTTTTATTACTGAATGAATTTCATGACTTCTAAAAGTAATGGGTTTCTCTGTTGAGGCTTTCTTCTTCTGAGGCAGTTTTAAAATTTGTGTAAAATAATAAAGTTGACCTGACTTAAAACTAGTTTGAAATTTTAAAAAGCGTGAATTGGCATGCTTAAGATCCTGGGTTCAGTCCCCAGTACCAAAGAGAAAAAAAAAAAGTATGGAGATAAAGTTTGGTACCTGATAACCCCAAATAATTGTTGCCATACAATTTAAAATTATATATTCCTCTTCTACCAAATTGATGGGATTGAATACAAGTAATAGAAATGTGAAGTTTAATTTTTTCCTTTTAAATTTCTTTCCAAACCATTAATACTAATGAAAAGTGAATAAAAAAGAGAAAAAATTAAAGTAGCTAGAGTCTGTTTTACATATATGTAGTCAGTTATTTTATAATGTTCTGATTCTTGGCAATATAAGAGTACATGTTTTGGTATAGCCAAATGTTGGAATGCTGTGTTTTTAGGAAAAAAAAAAAAAAAACGTATCTACTAATGTGGAACAATTTCTAATAACAAAATAGGATACAGATCAATGCATGTAATCTATTGCTACTTTGTTGCTGTTTCTTTTTTTAAAGGAGGCCATCTGGGCATATACTTTCACATGCATATTTTCATCTTTGAAAGGTTTATGGGAGCTCTGGTAACCATAGTTGTATCTCAGAGAAGGAAATTGAGTTTTTACTCTATATTATTTTGTACTGTTCATATTTTTTAGAAATCATGTCCATGTTTTACCTTTCAAAATAAAAATAAATTTTGAATAAGAACTCATTTACACTGGCAAAGTGATGTATGCCTGTAATCCCAACTATTCAGGAGGCTAATGCAGGAGGATCACAGGTTTGAGACCAGCCTGGGCAACTAAGTGAGACTTTGTTTCAAAATAAAATAAAAGGACTGGGAATGTAGCTCAGTAGAGTGCTTGCCTAGCATGCACAAGGCCCTGGGTTCAATCCTCAGTACTGCAAAGAAAACAAAAAGTTAATTTAAGTAAAAAAATGTTCTTGGTGTTTTGGACAATCCATAAAAGTTGGTGGGCAAGAAATACTTTTTGCTTTTCTATCACTGAAATTTGCTATTTTTGTGTAGTTTTAAATATCTATAATGTATATAAAGTAAAAACAATTAAAATTTGAGAGTTGAGAAAAGTGTTTCAATTTTTCTGTTGCTGAAGTTTTATGAGACTGTATATGGAATCATAACAGCATTTTCAAAAAGTGAGTGATAGGGCACATAAAGTATAAAGATAGGGATAGAAATTTTTGTATGTAGACTTTAGACCAATTCCACATGAAGTACAGGTAACTTTAGCTAGCAATATAATAATGGAGAAACCAATTTAAGGACAGGCAGAAAGCAAGAACTAACATTTATTGAGGGTCTATACAGTGCCAGGAGCTTTACATAAAATCTCTTGTTTAACCATCAGTAAACCTCTGAGTAGGTGTTATTTTTCTGTAGTTTACAGATGAAGAAAGCCAAGTTCCAGAGTAGTTAAGTAACTTTCTTGAAGTCCCACAGATATTAAGTGGCAGGGTTGAAATATGAATCTAGGTCTAACTAGCTCCAAAAATTATGCACTCCCTGAGCAAAATGGCATTCCTCCTGCCTCATACTTGGATTCTATATTGTAACTTCTTGAATGATCAATCACCAGCATTTCTATTTGCTGTCTTTCTGGTTGTATAATGAGTAGTTTCAGTAGAATTAAGTGTTTTTAAGTACTATTTTTTTTCAATATCCGCTACACCAGGGAGACCTGACCTATAATAGGTAAAGAATGAAAATATGTGAGTATATTTCTTTCTTACAATTTATAAATTTTTCCCCAGAACTTTATGAAATCTTCCTTTCAAGAGCAAAAGAACGGTGGAAAAGCTTCAGTGAATCAAGTTCAGAAAATGATACAGAAGGTGCGATTTTTGTCTTTAATAATTTCAGGATGAAAATCTAGTTACTGAAGATAATAGTGTGGTTTTATACCATATGCCAGGAACTGTGGTAACTGATTTACATACTTTATCTCATTGAATCTTAATAACCTTTTTCATACTTATTATTCTGAATTATACAAGAGAAAACTGAGGCTTAGAGAAGCTAAACAACTTGTAAGCAGAGAATCTGGGTTATATAAACTAGATTTGTTGTACTCCAAGGCTCAGGATTTAAATCATAGCAGTTAAAGCAATGAAGTAGTTTTAGGCCAAACTCTTACTTAAGGATAGAGGTTCTTTATCTCTCACTGTGACCTCTTGTCTTTCCCCATCCACTGACTTTCACTTATTCCCCAATATTTATAATTCTTATTGTGCCTTATTCTTTGTTCATTTAACTCACCCATAGCCCTCTTTCCCTCTACTCTCATCAATTTTTTTCCCTAAGCATTTTGGAGAAAACGAGAGGATTTTCTCTCTCTCATCATAGTTTATTGAGTTTAAGTAAATTTACTTAACCATCTACTGTGCTTTAATAATGAAGAACAGTTTTTCTGTCAGTCACTTTTATATATTTGTTTATTTTATAGAAAGCAAACCCTCTTCTCTTGCCAGTAAGTAAAACTTAAAAATGAACACAGTTTTGGATAGAAAAATGGTGCCTATCTTATAGTGGTTTTCTAGAAGGATGTTAAATTTTTTTCTGTTTTAAAAAATGAACATTAGGGTGGGGAAATTTTACTAAATAACATTAGGGAGAAGGCTTGATTTCTGTGTTTATGTAAGTATCATCCTAAGTCCTGTTTCCTATGTCAGTTACTTGTGGGGAATTAAAAGTACAAGGAAGGTGAAGATGTACAAGTTTTAGACAAGTAGGATTTCAACTGTTTCATTATTCCTTTTAAACTGTTATGAAGCATCAAAATTGTAAGAATTAAAATTAAAAACTAACTTCTGAGATATTTTGTTATGAGTAAATAAAGTTGCACTTTGGTAGAAATTGAATTTTTTATTCTGTAAGATATTTGAATTCTTAATATTTTTGCCTACTAACTTAAAATAGAAGTTTTATCCCATGACTTAAAATTTTGCATAATTACCCTTGAAATAGAAAAAGTTTAAAATATAAATCACAAGTAGTGTTCTATTTAATCACAGTTTTCTTATTTCCTGAGTATTTATAACTTACAGTTATTATTTAACTCTTTGGCCATTATCTTTTCAAATATTACTTTAGCTCCATCTCTCTTGTTCTCCTTCTAGTACTTCAGTTATGTTTATGGTAGACCATTTAACAAGCCTCTTATACTTTAATTTTTTTTCTCTTTCTGCTTCAGTTTGAGTGATTTTTATTAACCTGTAATCAAGTTTACTAATCCTTTCTTCTATCTAGTATATTATTTAATCTATCTAAAGAGTTTCTAATTTTAGGTGGTATATTTTTAATTGTAGAATGTTCACTTGGTTATTTTTTTATATTATGTTTCTTTAATGAATTTCTTCATCCTTCCATTCTATATTTTATGATATGTTTTCCCTATTTTCTTTAACATATTTATAACAGACCCCATTCTGTGTGTTAATTCCAACATTGGATTATCCATTGGTCTGCTTCTGTTGGCTGGTTTTCCTCTTGATTATAAGTCCTGTTTTCCTGCTTCTTTGCATATCTTAAAAGTTTTAATGGTATGCCAGATACTGTATATAAAAAGAATACAGAGGGGCTGAGGTTGTGTGGCTCAGTGGTACCGTGCTCGCCTAGCATGCATGAGGCGCTGGGTTTGATCCTCAGCACCACATAAAAATATAAAATAAAGATATTGTGTCCACCTAAAACTAAAAAATAAATATTAAAAAAAAATAATACAGGAAAGGAAATTGATGTTTCCCTTGCAGAGGAAGCAGGATCCTTTCAGGTAGTTGGATTAGGGATTTATCGCCTTAATTCAATCAGTAGAACTAAGTTGGGGCTAAGTTGCAGCTTTCAATAGAGTTAGTTCATCTCAGGTTTCACATTACTTCATGGGAAGAACTGTCTTATTTTGATTATAGGCTTCTTCTCCAATGAGATGCTCTCCCAAGGACCACGTGACTTTGGGTGATTTCATTTTACCTTCAAACCTGATCCCATGCATTCAGCAAAAGTTCTATAGGGGAAAATCAGATATACCAAATTAAAGCCTCCTCCAGATTCCTATGTCACATCAGTCTTATTTGGCCATGAAAACTCTTTTGGTTTCTCTTTCCTCAAGCAGAGTGCTTTTGTCTCTGGCAAGCTCAATTCTAAACACATTCCTAGATTTGGAGGCTTCTAGGAAGAAAAATGGCCACTGATGTTCACTTCCATAGGAAAGGTTCTTACCCTCCTGTAATTGTAAGTCCTCTAGACTTCTGTCTATCAGCTCTATAGTAATTTTTACAATGTGATATATGTATTTTCCCTAGTTATTACCATGGGAATAATATCCTGCCCTTACATTTTATAAAAACTGGAAGCAGAGTTGTTTCACCATATATTTTTCTGATAAATGTGTAGATATTTTTTTCATATTAGAGTTTAAGTTCTAGCAAAAGTAATATGGCATTTCTTGAAATTTTTCTTGATAATTCCACTTTTAACTTTCCTTAAATAACATATATGCTGAATGTTCATTCTGTGTTTACAAAATTGAACATGTTACAGCCAAGTGATCATTGAAATTTTATCTACTTGGTAAATACAGGTGTATCTGTTGCTGACCGAGAGGCCAGTCTGGAATTAATTAAGTTGGACATATCCCGTACATTTCCATCTCTCTACATCTTTCAGAAGGTGAGGGTTTCTAATGAAACTGTAACTACTATTTTTTAGTCTTTCAATGTCCAAGGGGACAAATTCTCTAAATGAATAGCTATTATTTTTTAAAAAGCAGAACTAGAAAAATTGGGGCCTGTATACAAAAAGTACAAAACTAGTATGAAATTTCTATTATTTTGCTCTACTGATGGAAATACATTGTAGTTAGCAAAGCACACAATACCTTTTGTGTAATAAGTACTTAATACACTTTTATCATGGTGAATTTTTAAAATATTAATAATATTTTTATTCTGTAAGATATTTGAATTCTTAATATTTTTGCTTAGTAAATTATTAAAATATAATGAACTTTGTCCTCAAGACTTAAAATTTTTCAGAATTGCTACTGAAATAGGAATAGTTTATTTTCCTATTTAGTTTTTATAGGAAGAAGTGGTTAATTATTTTTAAATTTTACCATTGAAATGGGAAGAAATAGTTTTATAATATAGGGTGTATGATTGATAAACTGAGAAAATTTTTTTCTGTTAAGGTTAAAATTATTAATACAATTTAATTTAGTTGTAGTTTGATGGTTCTCTTTTGTTCAAAGTGTATTACATAAAATGAAATCTCTGGGTGTTTAGCTCAGTCCTAGAACATGTAGGAGGCCCTGGGTTCAGGCTCCAGCAATTCCCCCCGTCCTAGCCAGAAGAAAAAAATAATAATCTGTGTTAAGTTTATTCCTATTGTACCAAGTCTAGAAGTCTTTAAAATTGTTTGCACATTATATTGCATTATATAGCTTGCATTCATCAAATGAGCACATTTGACTTTTTTGTTATTCATCATTGAATATTTTTGTTAATAATTTTCAAAATATCTTGGCAGAATGCATTTATAATATTTTTGATAATTGTTAATACACTAAAACTAGTCATTTAGGAAATGCAACAGTTTTTTAACATGTGAGAAATAACTTAGAGACAATTATTCATGTAGTTTAAAATTTCATTTTTCTCTCCTAAGGGTGGCCCATATCACGATGTTTTACATAGTATCTTAGGGGCATATACATGTTACAGACCTGATGTTGGTTATGTAAGTATTTGTTTCAATCCGTTTTTTTGAATATGAACATTTTATCTATTCTCTTATCAAATTTCTTATGTTGTATTAGACATTTACAATACATATTAAATATACCTGACTGCTTTCTTTGTCCTCATCAACTTACCTAGAGAGGAGACTTTCCATCTCTTGTCAGGAGCTTATAAGACTGGCTGCCAGCTTTGTGGGATTGCTCCTAGGGATTTTTCATCATTTGTTTTATAAAATTTTATTTAATGCTTATGCTATCAGTGTGATTCCTTTATCCCCCCTCTCACTAAACCTCTTTCCCCTCACTGTTCCTCTACAAAATAAAACTCTTATATTCGGCCAGGTTAAGGGAAGAATAGGTACCTATCCATATAAGACAAAGGAGGGGATTTCCTTCTTTTATGGGGTGAACAAACCCTACTTTTGGCCCTACCACTCAGTTTGAGAGGTATCTAATAACTTCAGTTCCTAAGCCTTACAGCATTTTGTTGCTGAATTGGTTCACTGATTATTGGCTTCCTCCTCTATAGATCTTTTACTTTCAACATTTCCTTTATTTAAATTAAAATTTATAAAATGCTATTGACATCTTTTATATACTGTTCATATTGTTTTCCATTTTCTTTGTTCTCTTATGAGAATTAGTACTCATTTTTTCTTTACTGTTATTGTAGTTGAATTTTGGGAAGGAACAAAGAAAATATTAGTATTCAGTAGTTACATATAACTAGAAGGTATGAAACTTTCATCTTCTCACGTTTGCCTTAAAATCAAAGAACTTTAGGGTCCTCACCATAAGGTGGCTGTCTGATAAAAATTTACTTTGTTTTGTTGCATGTTCATTTGTATTTGCTCACGCACTCAACAAATATTTACATGCTTATTATTATTGCTGTATGCTAGGCATTGTTCTAGGCACTTGAGATACCTTAGTGAACAAAAGATTATTCTCCTTATAATGCTTACATGTTAGAAGGAGAAAACGGACAATTAAAATTAAACAAGTAAGTCAGGTTATAGTAAAAGGTGATAAGTGCTATGGAAAAAGTATGGTGTGGTAATGGGGAGAATTGTCATGTTTGGGGTAGAGCAGGTTGTATTAAAAATGGTGGTGAGATAGTCCTTATGGAGAAAGTGAAATTTGAGTGAATCTTTAAACTCTCTTGCTTCGGGTATTTAAAAGGAGGTATCCCTTGCACACATGTAAGTTGACATTTAATTTTTTCATAGTAAGTGTAACTATAAAGGTTAAATTTTTGGCACTGAATATCTTACATTTCCTTTAAACATGGATGCAATGGAATGTAAATACTACTATCATGATTTTTTTCATGATTAGATTCAAGTTAAACATTTGATAGGAACACTACCATAAATGATATATCCTTTTCAGTATGTTACATCATGAATAGATAGATACAGAATATTCAGAAGAATCTGACTCTGAAAAAACTGTGGAAACAACTTTTTATTATTTTCCTATAATATATGCACAAAGTGATATGCAATGGATTTTAATGAGCTTTAAATAGCTTTATGAATATGCATAAAATAAAATTCTAAGTGGTAAAGTATTGTAATTTCTTCCTTTTTAGTAGTATATATATTACTTTCTTTATTTTTATATTTTTGACATGGGGCCTTACCCATCTTGTTGGCCTCAAACTCAAAATCCTTCCACCTCAGCCTTCTGAGTAGCTGGGATTACTATGCCCAGCCATAATACTACTTTTAAATTAACAGTATCTTATATTCAATTAAATGTAGTTTTAATACCTTTATTGTTTTTCTGCCATTTTATTACAGATGGTTAAAAGCTTGCCCTTAGTATCCATTCAGTAAATATTGTGGACTAACAATATAGTCATGAACAAATAGACATGGTCTTGTCTCTGTATTAGTTTCCTATTGTTTTTTTGAAAAAACATATTATTAATTCTTTTTAGTTATAAGTGCACACAATAGCTTTATTTATTCTTATGTGGTGCTGAAGATTGAACTCAGTGCCTCACACCTGCTAGGCAAGTGCTCTACCTCTGAGCCATAACCCCAGCCCCAAGATTCCTGTTGTTGCTATAACAAATTACCACAAACTTAATGGTCTCAAACAATGCAACTGATATTTCTTCAGGTCAGAAGTCCAAAATAGATTTCACTCAGTTCAAGTCAGGATATTGGCAGGGCTGAGTTCCTTCTGTGGGTTCCAGGGCCAAATCTATTTCCTTGTCTATTCTGCCTTTTAGAAGCTATCTTCATTCCTTGGCTCATGGCTTCAAAGACAACAGTGTAGCATTTAAAATCTCTGACTCTCCTGTTTCTCTTTTTTACTTCTAAGGTCCTTCAATGATTGCTTTGGGCCCACCCTGATAATCCAGGATAATCTTGTTTTAAGATTTTATTTAATCATATCTGCAAAGTCCTTTTTGCCATATATTGTAATACTTTCACAGATTCTGGGAATTAGGATTTGAATATCTCTGAAGGACAGTTGCTCTGCCTAATACAGTCTCTGTCCTCATGGGATTTTTATTCTACAAAATCAAACAGCCAGTTATTGTATAATCTTCAAGGAAGTCTGAGAAGTAGGAGAGCAAAGAAATATGGAATCATAGAAGCTAAGAGAGTACTACTGTGAATATAGGAAACTTCCCACTGGGTTTTACAATAAATATCATTGATCATGCTGATTAGAGAAGTCTCAACATTATATAGTAGTGGAGCAGGAATCCATATTGAAGTATGCTGCAATGTAAAAATATCAAGCCGGATATGATGTTGCATGCCTGTAATCTCAGAAATGTGGGAGGGTGAGGCAGTAGGATCTCAGAAAGGCCAGCCTCAGCAATTTAGTGAGACCCTGTCTTCAAAATAAACAATAAAAGGGTTTGAAATATGGCTGTATGGCAGAACACCCCTGGATTCAATTACTAGTGCTGCCAAAAAAAAAAGGAACTAAGAAAGTAAAATTAGTAATAGATAGTAATTGTAGGCTACCCTTTCAAAATATTTGGGAAAAACATTGTGTAATTACAATTATTCTTTGTAGTCTCTCTGTGTACGTTCGTCATATAAATCTCTATTAGAAGTAAATAGTTGACAACTTTTTAAAAATTAAAGACATGTACAGTTGCTACTAATAACTCACAAGCAAACATCTATATTCCTTGACTTTTTACTCAAGGCCTTTCATAATACAAATATATCCTACTTTTCTCAGATGTCTTCCATTTCTCATAAATCTTGTGCTTCACCTGTTATTCCCATTTCTTCTGTTATGCCTATGCTTAATTTCCATCCTGGAATGGTGTTTACCCCATTTCTTTCTCCTCTTTACCAGGAATCTAGGTTATCTGAATCCCTACAAACTTCATTCTTAGAATTTTAGCAGCACATTTTATAGACCTCTTTTATTCTTAGTTCTTAATTTCCAAAAGAGATTTGTTATAAAAATGAAAATAATCACCTGACTTTCACTAAACTTTGTGATTCTATATTCTATATTTTGAAAGAATTTGGAGAGGAAATGAAAATTGAGTAGATAACACACTGAGATTTTTGTAGCAAGTAAAAATTGATAGTTTTTTCCCTCAAATTTTTCCTCATACTTATTAAACCATAACACATGAACAAAAATGTAAAATTAGAATTCAAAACTGTTATGGGTGTTCTGTATTTACCTTTATGGGTGTTCTTTATTTACCTTTGCTGGGAAGAAAGAAGAAATCTTGGTAAATTCTACTTTGTAACACAACTTTGTAATTTTTTAGGAATTCAATTACATAAATTGTAGAGAATCGTTATTTTAAATCTGTTTTTATTTTCTTTTTCTCAAAAGGTCCAAGGGATGTCTTTCATCGCAGCAGTGCTCATTCTCAATTTGGAAGAGGCAGATGCTTTCATTGCATTTGCAAATCTCCTGAATAAGCCATGTCAATTGGCTTTTTTTCGTGTGGATCACAGCATGGTATGAACATTTGAATGAACTATTTCTTTTGTATGTTCTGTATTCTGAATGCCTCTTAAAGTAAAACACAATAATTACTAGGGTAATCTGAATTTGAACTTGTGAAGACACAAAGAGGTGCTAATAAACAAGATTTTCTATTAATGTTAAGGACTTAGTTCTATTTTTCTAGTGTATATTCTTTCATAACTTTATTGAATTTTCTGTCTGCAGATGTTGAAATATTTTGCAACATTTGAAGTTTTCTTTGAAGAAAATCTATCCAAACTATTTCTTCATTTCAAGTCTTATAGTCTTACACCAGACATATACTTGATAGACTGGTAAGTCATAATATACATAACAAATAATAATGAAAAGGAGATAAATTATAACTTTTTCTGTGCTTAGGAACTATTGTAAATCTCATTCATAGGATCATACATATTAAAGAACCTTTCTTTAGAAATAGAGAAACTTCCACATTTTTATGGGGATGTATTTGATTAAGAGTATGGACTTGGCCAGGTCCACTGGCGCATGCCTGTAATCCCAGAAGCTTGGAAGGCTGAGGCAGGAGGATTGCAAGTTCAAAGCCAGCCTCAGCAAAAGAGAGGACCTAAGGAACTTAGCAAGATCCTGTCTCTAAATAAAACATAAAAAGGACTGGGGATGTGACTCAGTAGTGAAGCGCCCCTGGATTCAATCCCTGGTACCCTCTGCCCCCGCAAAAGCGTATGGACTCTGGGTTTAAGTCAGAATCTCTCAATTTGTGTTTCAGTTTCTTATCTATAAAAGGGATTAGTAATATTTATGTCTTCTGTTGTAGCTTTTTATGTTTTATCTCTTTCAAGACCTAGCATACGCTAAGTTCTCAGAGTCAGTTGCTATTTATTATTTTTAACACACAAGGGCTTACAATAGTTTTGATAGTGTTTCTTTACCAAGGGCTGTTTTTATCCAGATTTCTGACAGAATAATGATGCCTTATCTAGGTGCTTCATCTTTCCAATTCAAGATCTGTTGGAACTTAGAGCAGTAGCCAATTGATTGTAGAATGATGGGTGAACTTTTTGAAAGAGATGAAGCAGTTGATCTTAAGATAGTTTTGACAAGAGTACACATGGTAGTTTAGACTTTAAGTCCTAGTCATTCAAAAATCATGTAAGTGGTATTAAGCTTTAATATAGAAAAATAAATAAGTGATGTTATTGATCAAATATGATATTTTCCCACTTATTTGAGTCTTTTGGGACCTCCTCCTCCTCCTTTTTTTAAGTGTGTGTGTGTGTGTGTGTGTGTGTGTGTGTGTGTGTGAGAGAGAGAGAGAGAGAGAGAGAGAGAGAGAAAAGGAGGGAGGGAGGGAGGGAGGGGGATTAGGGATTGAGCATAGGGCCTTGTTAGGAAAGCTTTTTAAAAATTTTCATTTTGAGCACCAGGCTAGTGATCCTCCTGCTACAACCTCCCTAGTAGCTAAGAATACAAGCCTATAATTCCAGCTTGGGACTCCTTCTACTCAGGCTTTTTAAAAAAAACTTGAGTTAATTTTCAATGTATGCTCTTCCATTTTCACTAGGAATATTAGAGTTCTTCCCAAGATAATTGGGAAGAGAATTGAGATCAAATACTAATTCTGTGAGGAAGGGGTAGAAAGAAACTCTTAATTTAAGAAGTAGAGATGGACTTTTGTTTCACTACCCTTGTTGAACTTATTACATACAAATCCCAGAATCATTTTTTCAAGATAAGAATGAGTAACTGGCAGTGCTAAATTTTTGTTTGTTTTGTTTTGTGGGAGAGCTTTAGTTCTCTTCTTCAGATTCCATCAGCCCTACCTCAAACTAATAAGGGTAAAAAGTTGTATCATGGACTGGATTGGTGGAGTGCTTGCCTAGCATTATTGAGGCACTGGGTTCGATTCTCAGCACCACATGTAAATAAAATAAAGATCCATCAACAACTTTAAAAAATAATTTTTAAAAATTTGTGTCCTTTTATTTGCTAAGGCAATTTTAAGACAAGTCTTCTAGTACCTATTCTCCTATTTCCCAAACCAGAATGCCACCTGATGCACCATTGGATAAAGAATTACATGGTCAGACACTGTCAGAAAGGATAAGAAAAGCCATTTTGGTGATTCTATTGGAAAGGAAGTAATAAGTAAAGCTTGGTAGAGAAGAAAACAAAACAATGGATGTTTGCTGGAAGGGGAAGTGAATTATTAAAAGGTTTTATTAGGTTACTAAAGATGATATCTAGCTTCCTTATACACTAACAATAAATAATTTTTATTGATCATTCCTTTTCCTTTTTCTTTTTTTCTCTCTCCCTTTCTTTTTTCTTTTTGGTGATGAAATTCAACCCAGGGCCCGTTAAGCATGCATTGTCACGGATCTACACCCCCAGCCATTAACATTTCTTATGTGCTTAGACACCACTCCAAACACTTTGTATTCATTAATTCCTTTAATTTTCAAGGCAATCCTAAGGTAGAAAGTATTATTATTTTTTAGTTTACTAACGAGGAAACTGAGGCACAGCAAGGCTAAATATCTTGGTCAAGGTCATATAACTCAGTGGCAAATTCAAAATTCAAACCCAGATTCCATACCCTTACCACTACACTATTATACTAATCTGGAGTTTGTATTAGGCTTTGTCTTTATATAAGATTGTGAATTCACATAATTTTATTATTTATTACTTAATTTTCCATTATTCAAGTTTAGAGAATAAACCATATTTTATTTGCTGTTGTATCCCTAATTTTTTTAAATTGAACTACAGACTACAATAATCATTTATTTATCATCATTTTTTTATAAAGATGCTTAATGAGTGATTGAATTAATAATGAAAAACTTCAAGACTATTTTTCCTCCTAATTTTAGGATCTTTACACTCTATAGCAAGTCACTACCACTTGATCTGGCCTGTCGAGTCTGGGATGTATTTTGCAGAGACGGAGAGGAATTTTTATTTAGGACTGGATTAGGAATCCTCCGATTATATGAAGATATTCTCCTACAGATGGATTTTATTCATATAGCACAGTTTCTAACTAAATTACCAGAAGATATCACATCAGAAAAGCTCTTCAGTTGTATTGCAGCCATTCAGATGCAGAATAGCACCAAAAAATGGACTCAGGTAGAATGGCACTTTAAAGTTTGTAATCGATATGCTAAAATAATCAGTTGGCTTCTTGTAAAAAAGTTGTATATTTCTGAAATGTTAGTGTATGAGTTCAAAATGTAATATCTTTAAAAAATAATTTTGGGCTGGGCATGGTGGCACATGCCTGTAATCCCAGTCGCTCAGGAGGCTGAGGCAGGAGGATAGCAAGTTTAAAGCCAGCCTCAGCAACTTAGCAAGGCCTTAAATAACTCAGTGAGATTCTGTCTCTAAGTAAAATACAAAAATCGGGATGGGGAATGTGGTTCAGTTGTTGAGTGCCCCTGAATTCTCTCCCCAGTACCAAAGTAATAATAATAATAATTTAGGGCTTTGAGATTTTTTTTTTTTTTTTGGTGGTGCTGGGGATTGAACTCACAGCCTTGTGCATGCAAGGCAAGGCAAGCAATCTACCAACTAAGCCATATCCCCAGCACTCAATAATTTGGGGCTTTGAAAAAGCAAGAATGTAAAAAAGATTATCTCTCTTCTACATGTCCAAATTTATAGCTTTATTTTTATGTAAGTTCAGTAGTACTTTTTATTGAACTTCAAATCACAATGATAATTTGTTTAGCAGAGCTGTTAAATAATTACTTAGAGGGTCTGGGGTTGTGGCTCATCTGTGAAGTGCTTGCCTAGCACGTTCAAGGTGCTGGGTTCAATCCTTAGCACCAAATAAATAAATCAAATAAAAGTATTATGTCCACGTACAACTAAAAAAATATTTTAAAAAATTACTTAGATATCTGAAATAGACAATGATTTTATTAAACATCTGCTATGTACTAAAGGTTGGCAGTAGAAAGAATCTAATATATAATCGTGGCTTTTTTTTTTTTTTTTTTTTGGTACCAAGGATTGAACTCAAGGGCACTCAACCACTGAGTCACATTTCCAGCCCTATTTTATATTTTATTTAGAGACAGGGCCTCACTGAATTGCTTAGGGTCTTGCTGTTGCTGAGGCTGGCTTTGAACTTGTGGTCCTCCTGCCTCAGCCTCCCAAGTGGCTGGGATTATAGGTATGCACCATTGCACCCATCTTAATCATGGATTTTTTGACTGTATTGTTTGTGAAGGGAAATAACAGTGGTCTAAGTTAGGTGACATAAAAGAAGCATTATGTCTTGATCTGTTAATAATACAGACAATTGGCACTATAAGTGCACAGATTTATTGCTTATGAAAATGGACTGTAGGAATGACTGTTGGTCCAGAAAATGTTCTGTTACTAAATACTAATATAAGAATATTTGGCAATTGATGAAAATTGGAATTGAATCATATTCCATAAAATTAGGTTTAAAAAAATTGGGATTTGAGAATGAAAAAATTTCAGGGATAATTAAATTACTAAAGGTTTTTCATGTTTATATGCTATAGTTATTTAATCTATCACTTTAATCTTGGTGGTAGATCTTGAGGACTAATCTTTATTTTATATAATTTCCAGGTCTTTGCATCTGTTATGAAGGATATTAAAGAAGGAGACAAGAACAGCAGTCCTGCTCTGAAAAGCTAATCTTGAAAATTAACAGACTAACTGAAATATAAAAAATGTGGGTTTTTTTTTTTTCCGGGAAGTGGGGTGGGTGAAAGTTTTCTGTGTTCTATGTAAAAAGCATGAAAGAAAATTATTGGAGAATCTAAAAAAATCAAGAGGTGGAAACTGCTGATTTTAAATTCCATGACTGAAGCAAAGGAAATAAGGAATTTATTAACAGTATTAATAAAAAAAAGTATTTTGTAGGGAAAGCCATTTTTCAGAGGAAAAAGTCTAAATGGTTATTACATACTCCATAATTTGGAGTAAACAGTTTAATGCAATAAATTTTTAAAATAGCTTCAAAGATACTTCAAATTTTTATATCTTTTCTTTTTTAACAATTACCACAAAGGCACTATGGAGGTCACTTGGGATTGTTAAATACTAATTTAACCTCTGAAATACTATAGTATGGTATTATCTCCAGTTCTGACCTTTTGCAGATATTTTAGACCAAGAATTAGCAACTTTGATTGTAAACTAAGTCACTGAAATTGTTTATCTTTGTTCACAGGTTGGGGCAAATTTAAATTATCTGGGAACTGGAACATTAGTAGGAGATTGTTTCTTGTTTAAGTGTTTTCCCACAGTATTGTGTCTATTTGTTTTTGATGGGAAATTCTGTTTTCTTCCTTAAAGAATTCTTACCATTCAAATAACTTTAGTCTTTCTGTTCTAGTATAACAAATTGTTCACCTAGTAATTTAACATTAAGAAAACTAAATAACTGATAAGAAGGAAGTTCTTTGCACTTTAATGGACTGAAGACTTGACTTTGGGATTAAAGTCCAAAAATATAAATGAGATTTTTCACTGGTTAGAGTAAAAATTAATGAATTCTGAGAGTTCTTAAATAGCATACTACTTGATAAGACTTTAAAATTTTTAGTTAAAATTCCTCCTCTCTCTGTAGAAACAAAATTTGTTAATTCCAGTTTGAAAATTGAAATCTTATATGTAGCTAAGTTTATTCCTTGTGAAACACTATGCATAAGGTGTTTTTTTTAATCAGTGAAAATAAGAGTAAAAGAAAAAGGTAAAAATAATTTTTTGAATCTGATGGCATAGCAGATAAATTATTAATCATTGATAAATTGGCATTAAATTTTTTATGTTTAATTTTCAAACCTGGACTAAATCACTTGAGTTTTATGAGTATAACATACTATTCAGTTAATAATTTGTAATGTTTTATGTTGAGTTTGGTTTGAAAGAAAACCTAAGCACACTATTTCTGTTAGTGGTATATTTATAGTCTTTAAACTAACAAATCTGAGAGTCTTGTTAGTGTAGTGACTGCCTCTTTAGAAGTATGGGACCAGAGAGTATCGGTATATTTTACCCTATGGGTCCTTCTAGCCTAGAGATTACTAGTGGAATCCTCAGAAATTAACCCCATCATAGGGGCTGGCTTGGTGGAAACTGGTAGTTTAATAAAATATTAAGGGAGTACCCAGAGTCTTAATAGGTTTCAGGATGGCCTTGTAAGTCTGGTAACTATTTCCTTGGTATTGGTGACCCTAATAAAGGGGATGTAACCTCTGGCTGTAATCTCATTGAGATTATACTACCTGCCTAAATTTAATCTTACTTTTATGCATTCATTTCCTGAATTGGACCTAAGTTACTGTATTTCTTTTTCTTATTTTTTTATTATTGTACAGTTTGTTTACCTTTCAAGTGTAAATGTATATATACATATATATAATGTAAATACAAGGATTTCACTAAAAACCACTAGTAACAATTACCATGTAAATAAAACTTGCAAGCAGAGTAACTACTTGAAATGAGTCTTCATTACTTTGGGAATATCTGGTTTAGTTAACCACATCTGGAGAAGAAAAGGAATATACATCTTTGGGGAAGAAAGGCCAAGTTTCTCTTCCAAGGGATGCACTTAGACTTCAGTCTTGAGACTTTCAGTACTGGCAGCTAAAATACTGTACTGTATCTCCTTTCTTTGAACCTTGTATACAGGCAATATGTGGTTATTCACATGGTCAGTGTACAGCAGTTTGTTTTTTGATTGAAATATTTGTGCAATTAAAAGTAACTTTTCTTAAAATATCCAAAATAATGTGAGATTTAATATGATGTTTTGGTTGCTTATGTATTCACACACACACACACACACACACACACACACACACACACCTTAATTGTTGTGTGCCACCTGCCTTAATTGTTCTTTTAGCCCAGGTCTACACTATATTATTTAAATGCTATTAAGATTCCAATAACTAGTTTTAAAGTCAGATTTTGTTGATTTTTTTCCCACTGGTGACTTTCATATAATGTTATTGGGTTGAGTATATTTGTCTTTACAAAAATTAGGTGCCACTTGTAAAAAAGCATTGAAATTTTCAAACCTTCTGACTTCAGGATAACAGCTTTCCTTGTAGGATAAGAACTAATGCTGTCTTTTTTGTTTGTTTGTTTTGATGCTTTTTACAGTGATCAACTATAAATTATATTATTGGAGGGTATCATTCTAAAACATAAAATAGTCATGAAATAATTTATCCTACTTCATAAAGTCATATAGTTGTTTTGACTTTTCATTTCCTATTTGGATAAAATTAGATTTGTTTGCATAAAATTAGATTCTAAGAGCATATTCAGATAGTAGGAATTGGTATAAAAAGTTGCAAAAATGGTGTGAGGTAGCATTGGAAAATCAGATTTTAACTTGCCAACTAATTGATGGATAAGGTTAGAATGTCTGGAAAACAAAGTGATTTTTGTACTGAGAACAGATTATTCTGCTGTTTGTTAAGCAGTGGCTGAAAGATGAATTCTCAAAAGCAATGAAACCTTAATTATAAGTTTATTTTTACACAACATGTAAAAAACTAAAATTAAGTAGAAATTTTAAAAACATATCAGAGCAATTAGCTTCTTTAGTGAGGCAGTCTTACTTTTTAAAAATAGTTTGCTTACTAAGAGTGTAATTGCTGTAGAAGTGGGGTACATGCAAAGTAGGATTAATGAAGTGTAAGGGCTGGAGTTGTGGCTAAGTGTAGAGCACTTGCCAGCATGCCTGAGGCACTGGGTTTGAGCCCCAGCACCACATTAAAAACAAAAAACAAAAACAAAACTAAATAGAATTAATGCAGTAATACATATTAAGACCCTAATTATGTGCTAAGCACTGCCTCTTATTATTTTGTTAGGCTAAAGTGTTAAGGCCTGAGAAGTTAGCCAAATTGCTTTTTACCCCAAATAGTTTACTATTCATATTAATTGTTAGTCCCAATTAATGAAATTTTACTGTGTACATTTTATTTTCTAATAAACAACTGGGAAGGAAGTTTGCTTTGCAAAACTGTTTTGTTTGTTAACTATTTAAGTATACAGTACTGTCAAAATTAAGATAAAATGAATTTTGTATTATTGTAATATATTTGGAAAATAATTTTTATAATAAAAATTTGGTTGATAAACTAATACAGACTTGGGAGTATATAAAATTGATAACAGTGTGATATATACATTTGTTCTTGTTTTTAATCTCCATTTCAGCTTTGAAGTGGTGCTTCAAATTTTTCTTATCTAGGAAATATTGATAATTTTATAAGTAGATGATGTATTTTGATTGCTACATAAATCCCAAGACATTTTAGTTTTCATCTATAGCCTTAAGAAAATTTGAAAGGGAAATATTTACTTGATTAAAACCATTGTAAATTGTAAAAAAGCTCTGAATGTCAGTGTTTGGACTTTAATTTCAACTGAGAAGACATATTGGAGAGTATGTGAATGATAAGATTTATTCTAGTCTTAAATTGCATCAAGTGATTTTAAGTTAATTATATTTTGGGGCTGGGGAGATATAACTGGGGGGTAAAACATGTGCTTATTAGTTTGTACAAAGCCCAGGGTTTGGTCCTTAGCATCAAACCCAACAAAACCTAAAACCAATTGTATTTCAGTGAGCTAAACTGCATTAGTCATAGAATTTCTTCTGACTTAATTTTTAAAACTACTATGTGAGCCCTTAAAAAATGAACGTTTCATCAAATTTTTAATGAGACTACATGTTTTATGATCTTTTAAATTTTTAAATCAACCCTATCATTTCTTGCTCAAGATCCTCCAATGGATTATAATAAATTTCTTATAATAAAAAACCCAAACTTTTGGGCTAGTGATATAGCTCAGCTGTAGAATGTTTGCCTAGCATGCATGAGATCCTATGATTCCCACTACTGAAAAAAAGAAAAAAATATCCAAACTATCCAAACTTTTTGTTCTTGTCTATGAGATCCTACTTGTCTAATCTCTGTCCTTCACTCAAAATGGAATTTTTTCCATTTTTTCTACCTCAAGTTTTGCTTTTCCCTCTAGGTCTTTTTATGGTTTATATTCTTTCACTCAGGTCTTTGCTTAATGCCACTTGCTCAGAGAATTTTTCTCTAAATATCTATACTCTCAGCCTTATTTTGTTTCTAGTTGTCTAATAATATCTATGACATCACTAATCGACATTATTGTATATAGTTGTTGCTTCCACTATAGTATAAACCATGAGGTCAGAAATATTGTCTTTATTATATACTTTCTAAATGATAATATCCCAAATAGTGCCAGGCACTATCTGTGATAGATATAGATAACTAGATTATTTATTTTGGTTCATCCTCATTGAATTTTTCTTTCATTTAAAATTTTTGCTTTAGAGAGATTATGTACTTCAGAACCCAAATCAAATTATTTCTGGCTCAGGAATTTTAATATTTAAAATCTGGGTAGAAGAAAATGGTACTAGTAGAAGTCAGAAATAGGAGTATTGGCTAGGGGTAGAGCTCAGTGGTAGATTGTTTGCCTAGCATGTATAAGGTCCTGGGTTCAAACCCCAGCAAAATGTGTGCGGGTGCGGGTGCACATGTGCACACACACACACACACACACACACACACACACCAAAAAGAATATATCAGAAGACTATGAAGTCAGAAAAAAAGGGACAAGAGTATTTACATGGAGTGATTAGAAGTGTTATGGTGATAGATCTAAACACATTTTTTTTAAAGGAAGGCATATGAGTGACCAACAGAAATATGAAAAAATGTTCAATATCATATTACTAATCAGGGAAGTGCAAATCAAAACTAAAAAAGATTATTATCTCACTAAGTTAGAATGGCTATTATAAAGAAGTGCTGGTGAGGATGTGGAGAAAAGGGAAATGTTGCATAGCATACACTGATAGGAATATAAATTAGTATAGCCATTATGAAGAACAGTATGGAAATTCTTCAAAAATTTAAAAGTAGCTGAGCATAGTGGCACACACCTGCAATCCCACAGAGGCTAAGGCAGAGGATTGCAGTTTGAGATCAGCCTCAGCAATTTAACAAGGTCCTAAGCAATTTAGCAAGACTGTCTCAAAAACAAAGATGGGGGGCTGGGGATGTGGCTCAAGTGGTAGCGCGCTTGCCTGGCATGCGTGCGGCCCGGGTTCGATCCTCAGCACCACATACAACACATACAAACAAAGATGTTGTGTCTACCGAAAACTAAAAAATAAATATTAAAAAAATTCTCT